GTGTGTGTGTGTGAGAGTGAGTGAGTGAGTGAGTGTGTGTGTGTGAATGAGAGTGAGAGCAAGAGCGTGAGTGTGTGTGTTTCGATTAGGGTTGGGAATTGAAAATCAATTCCAATTCCAGAATCGGATACTTAAGGTGTTGAGTCCGGAATTTTTACACGTCATAAAAAATTTGGGTCAGATTCGATTTTCTGCGTTTTCGCATCCGTAACAAGCATTTTGATAGGGAAGGATGACAAATACAAAAAAAAAAAAAGAATGCATACGAACATTTCGGACTCTGTGTGCAAGGACCTTTAAGATCAGCAGTTGGATACTTGTTGTAAAATTAAAAATTCAATTCCAGTGTGTACATCTTTTTTTTTTTTTTAGGTGGCAAAAAAGGCTGTTAAAAATGTATTTGTCTTTGAGTCATTCATTCAAGAGATTCATTCAAAAACACTGATTCGTCCAGTATTCGTTCCATTCATAAATTCCATGAGATTTTGTTTAGTTTTTTCTTCAGAACTGCGAGAGAACCACAACATCCATTTAAAGAAAAAAAAAAAGTCTCAATTTATCCAGAATCGCGCAGCTCTGTTTTGCACACAAACAGCTCTTACTCGAGTCCAGTTTTTATGTAGCCGGCTGATTTTTGTTCGTGTGATTCAGGAGCAATTAAATGTTTTGCAAAAAGAGACACAGAATAAATATCGATATCGATAAGAATCGGAATTGATAAAATTGTAGCGATACCTAACCCTAGTGTCGATGGGTCTGATAGCACAGTGCTGATCTGTGTGCAGTATCTGGTGTGGATGTGAAGATCACAGAGAGCAGACCGCAGATTGGATCCAGTAAAGTCTGTCTCTGGTTCAGTGAGGTTTGCTCTGTCTGCTTGAACTCTGCGAGATTATTGATCGCTCTCTCGGGTGTTTGTTTACGAGCTCTGAAGATCAAAAGCCTGTAAACTCTAATCAAACACACTGTTTCATTGTTAATAAAGCAGTGCATTATTGATTGAGTGGGTTATGGGTCTGATCTCAGCGGCTGGTAACCAGGCCTGTTGTGATTATTGAGTGATCGATCGTCTGATCGCAGGTATTTGACTGATAATTGTGCAGTTAAAATTCACTTGCATTTTGCCATACACGTTAGTTAAATTTAAGTGCATTAAAAATTAATCTCATTTCGGTGTTTCATGATCCTAGACAGACTCCATGGCCTTTAAGAGAATCGACCCTCGCTCACAATCGAGCATGTGAAGATTAGATGCATTTGGTTTGGTTAGGGGTTAGGTAGTCAAGGACTAATAGTCAAAAAACATCAGGTTTAACTGTTATTAGACAGTCACATCATGCCTGACATCTTTAGAGTTTCACACACAGAAACTGAGATAATGCAGTCAACATAAAAACAATATAACAATAAATATATATATATTATATTATATTATATATTTTAGGTTTGGTGGACTCTAGTGTCAATGTAAAGTGGACTAAAGTTAAAGTTGGACAAAAAGAGAAACATTTTATCTTTCAAAGTATTATTTTTTACTGCATTAAAGAAAACCACACATGAATATTTAATTATATGTTTCCAAGTAAACTATAAGAAAATATTGTGTTATGTAAGACATGAGCAGAAAGAGACAAGTAAATCGTTTAATTGCAATTATTTGTATGACAATTATTCTTCAACACAAGATTCATGATCATGCTGGTAAGTTACTGTCAAAAGAGTGAATATCATTGTGTTGAGATCAGAGATCAGATCAGCTCTCACTGAACGTGTCAGTCGCTCATTATATCACAGCAGCTTCACGTCTGATTGAACACAGGGTTTCATCTTGATCTGAGGAAAAGCTGATTAAGATTTCTACATTTAAAAATGCCATCTTCATGAACGAAATCCAAAATGTCATTTTCATTATTGTAATTTGAAAAAAAAAGATATATTAAATTAAAGTGTTTTACAATGTTTTTATGTTAGAAATGTACTTATTTAAGAATCATCTGGTTGTATTGCAGTAATGAGATTTTTTTTGTGACATTGAGACTTTTATTTTTGGTTCCAGTGTGTGATACTATATTGCCAAAAGTATTAGCACCCCCCTTATAATGAAAAGGTTTGACTACTTTAGTAATTTCCATGAGTTCAAATCTTAATGTTGAAGCATATAATGGTATTCTAGGGAATTATGTGCTTCTAATTTTATACCAATAGTTTGGACAAGACCATTTTCTGTTCTAACACAACAATGCCTCTGTGTATAAGGCAAGGTTCAAAAAGAAATGATTGATTGAGTCAGTGTGGAAGAACTTGACTGGTCTGCTGTGACTTTAAATGCAGACCTTGAGCCGAAAACTCATCACCAAACACTGATGACTTGCACATATGGGTGCATTTATTTTAGACACTTCCAAAACTGTTGCAGCAGAGATGGAAATACAAGTTTTAAATACATGAATTATGTTTCCATCTTCGTTACCACAGTTTTGGAAGTGCCTTTTTCTGTTCTAAAGAAGATGGTGTCCCAATACTTTTGGTAATATAGTGTATGTTCATTTAGCTTCAATGTTATGTTCTGAAATATTGATGTGAAAATATTTGAGATGATCACGTGTGTGATTGACGGCGAGTTTGTGTGTGTGTCAGATTGGAGGCGGCTAAAGACGATTACCGCATCCGCTGCGAGGAGCTGGAGAAGGAGCTGATGGAGGTCAGAGGTCAGAATGAGGAGCTGACCTCTCTGGCCGAGGAGGCGCAGTCGCTCAAAGACGAGATGGACGTGCTGAGGTGAGAGACAGACCTGAGCTCACAGAGAACCAGCGCTGAGCATGAGTTACGAACACGTGTGTGTGTGTGTGTGTGTG